GATTAATAAAAATAAAAATATTTATTATCTTAAAATTATATAAATATTTAATAAATATTTTTATGATAATTTGAAACACCCAATAAGGTATATTTATTATTTTTTAATGTATCTAACAAATTGAGCTAATTTTGTTAAGATTGCACGGAATTCTAGACCACCAATGATAATGTAAACTGCTCGAATTTTCTCACCACTAATGCCATCCAATTTTTTTTTAACACTTGCATCATCTATTTTTTCTCTTTTTTATATTACATAAAAAATTTAAAAATATAAACATTATATGTTGTCTTTAAAGTTTCTGTCCAATGAATGGTTCATACAACAGTTTTGCAAAAGTAAATCGCTTCTATTTAAGGAAATTTATAATACTATTGAGATTCGAAAAAGAATAGACTTTATATCTTAAAACCTTAATTAATATATTAAGGCTCGTTTATTTTAAATTGAATAAAATCAATTTTAAACGAATGACCGTAATTAAAATATATACAAAAGTTAATATTTACTATAATTTTTATTATACTATGTAGTTTTTGTTAAAAAAAAGAGAGTTAAATTTACAATCATAAACCAAACAAGCATCGAGTTCATTGATTTTTAACTTATATGATTATCATTCAATTTTGTCCTTTCATTGTGGGCCTTTTTTTCTTTTTTATCACAAATTCCACCCACGTGATGATTCCCAAGGCATGGAACATCAGTAATAAATTGAAATATATTCGACTTCTGAATCTGAATTTTTTTCCCTTTTCCAAAATAGGTGTACTATTATTTTTTATCGGATGTTAATGTCCTTTACGATGAAATAAAAAACAAACTAATTATAAAATAATTAAATTTGTAAAATAAGGGTATGTTTATTTTAAAATTGTAAAATTAATTCTCATTCTTTTTAATAAAAATATAATTACAATAAAAATGTGTATTTATATTTATTTATTTACACTTTTTTTTTTTTGCTATTAGAAAGAGCTTAAAAGCTTAAAAGTAAACAAACGAACTAGCCCATAGGTATAGGCAGTCACAGATGGCTGGAATTCAAGCTTAGAAAAGGTAAAAGAGAGGAAAGGGAGATTCTCAAACTAAGAGAGAGGAGAAAAGAGCTAAAGGCCTTATTTAACTAAGGAATCAGCACATTAGTTAGCTTGTCTACATATATGAGTAAATCTAACAAAACCAATAGCTTTAAGAGTCTATCTAATAGTACAAAGAAGAGGAAACCAAGGATGAAAAGGGAGTTGGAGTTTTAGGACTAAAGCAATTGCGTCTTTAGAGTCACTCTCAATCCAGATGGTAGAGATCTTTTTTTTTTGCACCACCAACTGAATGCCTAAGTATATACCCCAAAGTTCAACTAAAAGGGGAGTGCAAGGATTAAGGTTGCTACAGAATCCTATAATAAACTTGCCATGACTATCATGGATCAAACCTCTACAAGCAGCAGCTCTCGTGGTCTTTGAAATAGCTCCATCCATATTTAATTTGAACTAGTCATCAGGAAGGGGAGACCATACCTTGACAAATGCCCTTAGAAGGAGTAAAAGAATCATATTAAGTGTTGTTCCAATTAATATACATAGTAGAGGTAGAAACACGGTATTAGATCAGGCTAACCAAACTAGCTTTAAGGCCTATTTTATGGAGAGTGTCAAAAACAAAATTCCACCTAAGCTTATTATAGGCTTTTTCCAAATTAAGCTTAATAATCATATAATTAGTCCTCTTCCTAAGATTTTGGAAAGAATGGAGTAGTTCTTGTAAAATTATGACATTATCTATAACATATCTCTTAGGATAAAGTTGAACTGATTAGCAGAAATAAAGTGAGGCAGAGAATCCCTAATCCTATTAATAAGAAGTTTAGTAACAATTTTATAACTAACATCACATAGAGAGATGGGCCTAAAATTTTTTATTCCTTCTCGATTTTCAACTTTGGAAATAAGAGTAATTGTAGTGTCATTAACAATAGAGATTTTCCTAGGATCTTGGAAAACTTCTAAAACAAAATGGGTGCAAGAAATTGCCATTGATTTTTAAAGAATAGTGCATGGAAACCGTAAGGACCAGGAGATTTAAATTTCTCAATACTAAATAGAGGCTTTGACCTCTTCAATTGAGGAAGTGGTTGAGAACCTCTGAATATTAAAGTCTCTAAGGGAAGGGAAAGAGGTTTGGGTCAGTAACTCAGAGTCATTAGAGGAAGAATCATGATATATATTCTTAAAATAGCGTAAAGCCATAAGTTTTAACTTTGAGGGATTGAATTCCCAATTTCCAGCCTCATCCTTAATGGCATTAATGGTATTTCTATGCCTACGAAAGATAACAACTCTATAGAAGAAACTAGTGTTTCTATCTCCCAGCCTAATCCACCTAGATCTGTAATGATAGTACCAATAGGATTCTTTATAGTTCAAAATTTGATTATACTCTTGTTGGAATTTTTACGCACGACAATGAAATATATCATTTGCAAGTAACAACTGGTGAACACTGGAGTATCTTCTCAGAGAACAAGCTAAAGTGTGTTAATTCTTAAGGCATAAAGTAATTGAACATATGTATAAAGAAATTGGTTGCTGAATTTCATAGAAAATATATGAAAACTATAATTTAAGAAAGTGATTCAAAGTGTGAGTAAAATCAAATTAAGGAAACTAGAATTGAAATTCATCTATCATCCTTTTTGTATTCTTATGATTCAGTGACATATATAGTGATCGATTCTATTGATGTTGATGCAACCTGCTAAAATCATATATTTCAATTCCTTGAAAACATACTTCTAAAATAATTTCTTAAAGATTGAATCTTCAAATGATTAGCAAATTATCCAGTATTAAGATTTAGGTTAAAAAGCAATTGGTAATTTGAAATATATTCTTAGAAGAACAAGTTACTAAGTAATTTCAATCAAATCCAAATTTAAGACATACTTTTCAGATATAATTTAGATTCTAAGATCAATAAGCAATTAGCCAAACAGTTTCAAGTAATGACCATAGATTGAAATCACCAAAAAATATATATAAATCACAGGAAATATATCAAGCTTGAAGATTTACATTCAATCCCACAGAAGTTTTTAGCCACTCATTGCAGTCATGACATCAATAAAAGAGAAAAAAACAATAATCCAAATTTGAATTTGAGTGTTCCCACTCTTTTCCTTCATTTCTCAACATCTCTCTCTCTAAGTTCCCTTCCAAGTCTGTTCTTTGTTCTTGAAGTTCGGGAAATGCCTTAAATATGAATATGCAAAAAGTTATTCTCACTACAGCGCTACTTTTGCCACAGCGAAAGAGGTTTTTTCACTAAGAGGAAATATACTCTTGCTACAGCGCCATCACACTTACTACAGTGAGAGTTGAATGTCAAAAACAAGTCATTCTGTTTGCTTCTCATTACAGCGAGAGTTTCCTCACTATAAATCTCTATTATACATCAAAAATTAAAAAATTAAATCGACCAAAAGTTAGAGTAGCGTACTAGAAACACAATTATGCAAATTGTTTTCCAAATGGATGCTTCAACCATTGCAAAGGCCAAAAAACTAAAGATGCTAGAGAGAGACAGAGAGGGAGATGAGATAGAAGAAATAATAGAAAGTGAGGAAAAAGAAGGAGACATAGTTTTGATTTGTTTCACATATTACAGATAGATTTTTCTGCTTGTAAATGGTTTAATGAAATAGAGTGTTTTGCATGTTCACTTACAAACATATTTATGAGTCTATAAATCCACCAAAGGCCATTAGAGACGAATTTTTTTGTCTGTAACGAGCTATATAAAAACTCAGTAAAATTTTTTTAATTTAGAGACGGATTTTTTCATTTGTAATTCCTATTCAAAAATTCTTGCTTCATTTTCAAATTACAGAAAGAAATTTCTATTTATAATGTTTCGTGCCAAATGACGAGCTAATTATAGATGGATTTTTTTTGTTTATATTACAAATGGATTTCTACAAAAGAAATAAAAAAAAAAGATTTATCATCTGTATTTCAGACAAAAAAAAAATCAGTTTATAATTTTTATTTGTATTAAGTGTATTTCTAGTAGTGATTGATCGGTTTGATGATTTCCTTATCACTAAGACTAGATTTATATCATTAGCTACAAGAACCTTGTCTTTATATGATAGGCAATGAGAGGACTAGGGTTCGAAAGTACTTGGTTTGATTCACAATCATTAGGGCTGCCTTTTTGCATACAAGAGTCCAGGTCTTCCAAAGGCGACGTCACATACTTGTTTGACCTTTGTCTTACTTCTAAACATCATATCTGCTTTCCCCTTAGTTTGTTTCTCTATTTCTGTGTGATCCATTTTATTCGTGTCCTTGAGATAGCAAGGGTTCTTGGGAAGAAGCCCTTATGATGACCACCGAGAAGCCACCAGAGTCACAATGGCTTAAGGTGTGTCTGGCCCAAAGGGTTAAGGAAACCTTAGCAGAGGACTTAAGACTATCTCTCTCATTTATGATGAAAATGAATCTTGGAGCAATTTACTCTTTTCTTTCTTATTTATTTACACATTTTAGTTACATTCAACAATTTAAAATTAATTTTATTTAACTTTAAATGGACACTAACACAAAAAATAAATAAAAGCCGTGTATCAATAAATAAATAAATCAAAGCCATGTAAAGATGTAAAGGCATGTATACCAAAACATTGTAAACTTATTCAGTTGACATCTAAAACTGTTAAATCCATTACAAGCTTATTCATACACGATACATTTAACCATATAGTGGTGAGAAACATAAGTTAACTCCACCAGAAGTTGACAATGCCATCACACCTTTCTTTAGTTCACAACATGTAAAGAACATAAATACATCACAATGTTTAAGGAAATTCATATGTAACACATGAAAAATACAAACAACACACCTTTTTTAACATACTATTCAACATCTCTTATGTTATTTTATTTTAAAATTAACCGATTATAAAAAGTATACTTAACACATCATAACAATCTCTACGGAGAGACCTCAATAAGAGATTTATAACCAAAGATGGGAAATACTCTGTATTGCGTGAATCCTGCTTGGATGAAGAGTTGTTTCCATTCTTTTTCAGTTCGCTCTTTTCCATTAATAGTCAACATCATTATATCCATACTGAGCTTTGTTTGACTCAGATTCTGCTCATCTAGCTTTTCGTTTATTATTGTATCGATGATAATCACTTTTCCTCTTTTGCCTTTGCTTGAAATAGAATCTTTACACTTTTCCAAGAGCTTAATGCATTTCTCATCATCCCAGTCATGTAAAATCAACTGTAAAATAAAAAGAAAGCGAGATAAAAACAATTGAGGATTAAATTATCATTAATGCTTTTATGTGATATAGTATAATAGTATTTTCTCAAATCAAATTATCAAATGAACAAATATTTGTATACCTTCATTAGAATTGCATCAGCTTCAGGGATGGATTCGAACATGTCACCACCAACAAAACTCAAATTCTTACTTCCAGTCAAGTTTGCTACAACATGAGGAAGATCAATCACAACACATTTCAACTTAGGAAATGCCTCACAGATAATTCTGGCTGTGGTTCCAGTTCCACCAGCAACATCCACAATGGAATCTAGCCCTTCAAAAACTGAACTACAATTTTTCAATGCCAAGCTTACCATCTGGGAATCACTTGCCATTGCATCATTATAAAGACTTATATATGCAGGATTTTTCTCAAGAAGTTTCCAAAAGCTTGTTCCAAAGGCTGTCTCAAATATTGTGGGGTCCTCCCCACGAGTCCATTCCCCTAACAGATGTAAGTTATCCATCATAAATTGCTCAGTAAACGCTAAAACTACAGGAGTTAAACAATGGCCACTGTTTTTGACAAGAAGCTTTGATGCAGCGGTTAGAGAATATGTTATTTCATGTTCTTCTAGGCTTTCGTGGATATCAAAGATTCCATTGTGTGCCAAAAAGCGCATGAACCGGTGCACAAAACTAGCTTTAGTTGGTGAAATTTGCAAAGTTGACACTAACTGAGGAAGAGTAATAGGCTTTCCATGGTTGTGTATGATGTCTGGAATACCTAGTTGGACAGCCCATTTAAGACACATAGTTCTTAGGTAGCCAAATATCTGCACGTACAGAAGAGTTTGGCCTTCAAAGAGCTCTATTGCTTTTTGGCTATCCATTGAAGCCATAACTGCAATCAATGGTTTGTTTAAACTCGTTTGCTTTATTTTCTTGAGCAACATTTGTTTGCCTTATATAATGTTTTAGTATCCTCTGATCATTAATTAATTAAGTGCTCACTCGGGGTACCGTTTTTTTTCACTCATTTTTTCATTTTCATTTTTTATATTTTGTTTCTATTATATCTTTTACTTTCTTTCTCTTTTATTTGTTTTTTATCTTTTTCTTCCTTCACAAATTTTATATCCCACTTTAAGGATGTTAGCATTAGCATATATATATATATATATATATATATATATATATATATATATATATATATATATATATATATTAATTTGGTAGGAATTTGCACGAAATCGCATAAGAGAGATGATCATTTTACATATACCTGTGAAATAGGCAGCGACAGGAGAGAAATACAAAGAGTGATATAATAAAAAATATATATAAATTAAAAATTAAATATAAAAATATAATAATTTTATTGTAAACTACCCAACATGCCTCATCGCTAACGGCTATCCATTTTTCCTCTCTCATGTAAACGCTTGGATTTATTTCATATACAATACGTTAAATTAATTAATCAAAGTTATAATATTTGAATTGACTTTGTAGTGAACCTATCATCTTTATTTATTATTACGTACGTGGAATGAGTTAGATTCAAATAAATATAATTATGACTTTAACCGGTACAACAATTTATAATAGAATTTTAGATAGATAATGAAAGGATCGATATAAAATAAATATATGGTGGCATTTTAAAAGTGTACGAGAATTTCAGTTATCCCTAAACTGATATAAAAATAATTATTATATCAAATGTTTTTAGAATTGATGTAATAAATATTTTTTATATCAATTATAAAAAAATTGATGTAAAAAATAGGTAGAGAAAATTTTAATTTTTTATCAAAAAATTTTTACATTAGTTGTACTGTACAATTAATTTTTAGAATTGATGTAATAAATATTTTTTATATCAATTATAAAAACATTGATGTAAAAAATAGGTAAAGAAAGTTTTAAATTTTTTATCAAAATTTTTTTACATTAATTGTACTATACAATTAATGTACAAAGTTTTTTTACATTAATTTTAAAAGTAACTGATGTAAAAAATGTTTGTAAGAGATTCTCTGTATATACAACTGATATATAAAGTACATTTTACATTGATTTTAAGAGGTAATTGACATAGAAAATTATTTATTAGTGTCAATTTACCACTTTCTTTTATCGCTTTTCTCGCATACAAGTACATAGAACACTTTAGAGTTTCCATTTCATTCTCGTCTAAGTCATAAAAATTTTCTGTCTTCTTTGCAGTAACTTTGCGTTTGTTCTTATTTGTTTAAATCTTGCCATTAGTACATAGAACACTTTGCGTTTGTTTAAATCTTGTCAATTTACCACTTTCTTTCATCACTTTTCTCGCATATAAGTACATAAAACACTTTAAAGTTTCCATTTTATTCTCGTCCAAGTCATAAAATTTTTCTGTCTTCTTTGCAATAACTTTGCGTTTGTTCTTATTTGTTTAAATCTTGCCATGAGTATATAGAACACTTTGCATTTGTTTAAATCTTGTCAATTTACCACTTTCTTTCATCACTTTTCTCGCATATAAGTACATAAAACACTTTAGAGTTTCCATTTCATTCTCGTCCAAGTCATAAAATTATTATGTCTTCTTTGCAATAACTTTGTGTTTGTTCTTATTTATTTAAATCTTATCATTACTACGTAAATGATTTTGTGTTCATTATATTTTTACTACATTCCCTTCACCACTCCATTATTGAAAATATTAAATCTTGTAATTGATAAATCATTTGTTTTTTGATATCTTGACATTGTTTTTACTTTCGAAACAAAGATTTAGTTGTTAGTTTAAAGGAAACTTAATCAACATTTTAAGTTAGTATACCATTTTTCGTACTTCAAATGTGTGGACATTGTGTTATGTATAGTATCTTGCTAAATGCAGTGTGAATATTTTGCTTTTCCTTTTATCTTGCAATTTCATTGTTTTCTAAACTGTGTATATTGGATATCTCATGTTGTTTAAGCATCTACGCAAGTATTCCATTTCAAAGGGTATCGCTCATTTATATGGATTATTTGACCTTTTTTAGTTTCAGAGCTTAGGAAACAAGCCTGAAATTATTCATGCATATATTCAAATAAAGTTGTGTGAAGAAACAAATGATTGCTATCTTGCATCATATCATTATAAGTAATTTTTTTTCTAATTAAATTTTCATATAACTAGTTTCACCTTCTTCAATGGTTATCTTCATTTTTAAGAGTCATTGACAATTGTTAATACTTTATTCTAAATATAACAAAGGAGTCATTAACAATTGTTAATACTTTATTCCAAACTAATGAAGTCATCTTCATCTACTTGTTATGGAATAAATAAAAAAATAAAATAAAAAACATTAATGATATGTAAGTATATTAATACTTGTTACAAATTAATTTACATATCATATATATCAATTATTCATTTAACTTGAATATTTATATTCATTATGCATAGGTGTAAGGAAACATGCAATGTTTTGGAGGTGTAAGCATGTCACGAGGGAAAAAAACCTACATAAATCTACTCACATATACATTTTTTTTAAATTTTTTATTCAATATTTAATGATTTCTTTTTAAGTTACTTATTAAAATTTAATATTTAAGTATTATTATTTTTCTTTTAAGGGGAGTTGGGAGTATAAATATAATGTAATAAGATATATGTTGACTATCATCACAATAACTATTATTAATTTGTGAACTTTGGTCTTATATTTATTATTTTAAATATATATTACTTATATTATTATAGTATTTAAAGTTAATATTATTTTTGTAATTTAAGCTTATAAATATTCAAAGATATTAATTCATTACTTAAAAAGAAAATTAATGATATTTGAAGACGTTAAACAAGATTTATTTTAAATATTAAGAATTTTTGAAATATTTTTAGATAATATATAATTTTTTTAAAATTATATCTTATTTTATATTAAATCAAAATATTTGTAAATCATATATTTAGTTATAAATAAATTTTGTATGTTCTGATCTGTGTGTCTAGAAAATATATATGTTATTTATCAAAGTTGATTATAATATAAAAACAAACACATTTGGAAAAAATTCTCGTCGTCGTCACATCTAACGGAAAATTTTGCTACAAGCAAGATACGCAAGGAAAGAACCGTGTTAATGAGTCAAATGTTTTTTCAGAAAAAAAAATTCAGTTAATAAACTTATTTTTAAATTAACTAAAATATCTTACCAAATACATTCTATATGTTAATTTAAAATCTTATTAATATATTAGGGGATTGTAAATAACAGTGTTTCACATATAAAACGTAGATCTAAAATTTTAATTAGCCACATGCTACCTTTTTTGCTTAGTTAGCTTCAATTTTTCCTAAACTTTCTTTCTCCTCTTCTTTCGATAACGTTACACTATCTGTCACCACTTGTATGCAAAAGGAGTAGTACATTTCAAATATGAGTGATTTTGAATGATCGTCACGTGTGAGACATATTGAACTAGCTTTACTCTTTAGGGCATACATCTCATTTCCTAAGTGAGTGATGCATTTTTTTGAATTTACGTTTTATATGAGAAACATTGTTCGTTTCATCCAATTATTTCAAAATTATATTATTTCAGTAAATTATTTTTAATTTTTATCCGTTAGAATCATAAAGCCAAGGAGCATCCACGAGATGCAAACCGGTGCAAGCAAGGGCAACGGCATGGAGTGGACTTCGTGGCTGTTACATTTCTAAATTGTATAATAAGTTGAAAAACTATTTAATGTTTTAAATTTGGACTTTTCTTTAGTCAAAATTGGAAGTTTACTATTTTTTATGGAATTTGAATGTCCTCCTTCATGTATAAAGAAACAACTATTAGAAAGAATAATAAATATAATTACTATTTTTTATTTTATACAAATACTTTTTGATATAAATATAAGTTATACGATAATTTCATAAAATATAATTTAAATTTTGTTTACATAAATAACTATTTGTGAAATTGTTTATTAATTTATTTTTATGTATAGATTATATTTTTTATTATATTATTTTTTACTATATATTTAAATTTTTATTAATTAAATATTATTAAAATTAATGTATTTATTATTTAATCTTGATTTTGATGCTTTTTTATTATTATTATTATTATTTTTATATATAGTTGTGTGTGCACCAATGCTTTTCTTCAGCCGACAATAAAGAGTATTCACTTTCAAGGAAGAGATATCATTGAAGTACAATTTCTTTTAACACTATATATATATATATATATATATATATATATATATATAAAACCAAGAATATAATTTTTATTATCATATTTAAAAGACTCAACTATCTATCGATCAATTAAGTCAAACTTTGCAAGTATTTAAACTCATTTTTAATATATTCTTACCCACTCTTTGACCCAATGGATAAAGTACTTTATAAATAGTGAATTCAAGATTTGAATCTTTGATGTTAAGACTTTTACTGAATCACCCTTTACTTCCCTTACCATTATTGGGATAAGAAAGACGAGTCCTTACTCTTTTTATAAATTTTCATTGCAAAATAATAACTTATTGTAATGATAAGCTAATGAATAATAATGAATAAGCAAAAACAAATTATATTTTTCTAAAAAAAAATTAAATAGGCTTTGCAGAATTTTTTTGGCTGCAAACAATAATATTATTTAAATAATTAAGCACATAGGATGGAAAGATAAAATTAAAAGCACTAAAAATAGGAATGTGAAAAACTCCCATATGAAGAACAAAGTTGTAAGATCTAGTCCGATAAATGTTTTCTACTAACGGAAATTAATAAATATACGGCAAAGTTAAATATGGGTTTTATTTGGTAGCTAAATTTATTATAATATGACATTTTATGAAAAAATATACCAAAATATTGATTAAAATTTGCTATTGGCCAGATT